GGATTACAATAACCAGAAACTTTAATGCTAAATTTGTGTAAAAAAGGTAAAAATGGGGATTCCCTAGTCAGTTTTCTTCCCTTTAAGGGAGCAAATGACCTGGATTAATCTGTTATTCTTCTTGTTTTTATGCAGTGGTTAGAAATGAACATATTTCATTATTTCTCAGTATTACTTTACTTTATTTTTAAAGGACAAGTGGGGCAAATTCTTTTCTGCTACACTCAGTCTTACCCTCAGCTCCACAGATGCATCTCTAATTACCCTCCTGTGGAACAGTTAGTTAAGTGCTCAGCTCCACAGATGCATCTCTAATTACCCTCCCGTGGAACAGTTAAGTATAAATCTTGCAGGGGAGCTTGTGCCAATTGCTTGTGAAGATCAGGCTGGATGAATAGCTTTTTTGTTACATTTACAAAAGTTGCTTTTTATCAGGGCAACTGTTCTCAAATTGTAGGTCAGGACCCAAAGAGGGCCATGACCCCCTTTGAAAAGGATCCCCAGGGGTGGCTTAGACTTGTTGGAGCCTGAGCCTCCCTGCCCACGGCTGAAGTCAAAGACTGAGAGCTTCAGCCCTGACAGCAGGACTCAGGTTGTAGGCCCTCTGCCTGCGGTTGAAGTCCTTTGGCTTCAGATCCCCCCAACCGCCCGGAGCAGTAGGCTTTGCTCCCCCACACCTGGCGCAGTGGGGCTTGAGTGCGCTGAGGCTTTGGTCCCCTTGCTCTGAGTTCATGAAGTAATTTTTGTCAGAAGGGGAGGTCACAGCACAGTGAAGTTTTGAGGACCTCTGTAAAAGGAGTGTAAGTTGTGACTATGTAGCATACATTCCTCTGGATGAGGGTACAATAGGTGGACTTTAGGAAGATCATTTCTACTTCACTGAATAGCTGGGCAGTCATAGCAGAGCACTGAGGGACACTTTCAGAAATGTCTTTAATTAAAGGCATGATCCTGTGCCATTGACTTCAGTGGGTGCAGGATCAAGCCCTTAATGAGTATCTGAACACCTATGGAGGGATACAAGCCAGCCTAGTGGATTCTGAGGGATTTGAACCAGGTCCACAGTGTCCAAAATGAAATTTGACAGAGAGCCATCACTGGCCATTAAACATTTTGGATAAAGCAATCACTATTGGGTGCAGAGATTCATACATAAGGACTCAGTCAACACCACAGATCCTTTTTACTAGAACTAGCATCTATCAATAGACTGAATTTTCTTCTCAGTTAATATTTTCCATTTTATACAGAAAACTTAGATCTAACTTTTGCAAAAATCCATAAAGTTTCATCAATGTAATTCAGTCTGTCATGAATGGAAAAAAATGCATCTCTCCTCACAGGTGAAAAGTGTCAGGAAAGATCTAATGAAATCCATTGACAGATCACATCAGTGATCAACAGAATTTCTGGAATACTGGGACAGAGAATTGCTGCATGAGATTGGAAACAGAATATATGCACCCAGAAATGCTGTACAGAACGTGAATAGTAGTTCCCTGCTCATTTTACCATAGGTGGATTCAGTGTCTGCCTGAAGGCTGCCTTTTTATTAATTCTCACTGCATCTTACCAACTCCAAGATAGGATTTACTTGACAAGCCTGGTGTTTTCTGATAGGTGGGTAGATTACACACAAAGAGGAAATTAAACTTTTCTATTGTCTTTTTCAAGATACTTCTGCTGCCTAATGAAATTGGGGCCTTCAATTTGTCATATTTGGAGTCAATTTAATAATCTACAGGTTAATTAGAAAAAAACTGACTATTAAAAGAGCTTAATAGAGTGTAAATGGAGAATCTTTACCAAGCAGATTTCAAGCCCAAACCAGTGCTAAAGGAATATCACCCATATAGCTCCACTAAGCGAACATTAAATGACAATAAACATAACAAAACTCCTTTTGGAACAAACTCACTGGCAGAATGAACATTGAAAACAGGAAGCTGTTACTTAGCTCATTTTAATTCCAGTTTCTAAATCAGCTGTTATCTAATTTCTGAGGGTTGATGTCTTTTATAAACTGTCTTTCACAGATGTCTTTATACCATATTATTAGATTCTTACTGTGTTTTTGCTTCCTTAATGTTTTTGTTTCTTGCTTTTAAATACTTAGCCATATCTTTGTTCAAGGAATTTATAGGCAAATGTAAAATTTGGAATAGAACTGTAATAATTCTTCAATAATGAATAATTTATTTTAAACTAAGCTTTATTTTAAGAAAAGAGTGTTTGCTGTAATAAAGAGTAAATTATGTTGTCTCTAGAACACTCAGAGCTGTGCTGGCCTTTCCCTCCCATGGATCCATACTACTAGAGGACCCATACTAAATAGTATCCTTTTACTGGATTAAACTTGCTGTTACTGACATATAATCTTCAGTAGGGAAGGAGCAGAGACCAGAAAACTCATTTTTGCCTAGGGCTGCAATTCAGCTTTAAACACGTTCTTCTCAAGCACTGATCTAGCAAAGTATTATAAACAAGTGCAGTGGGAAGCACAGAAATTCATTGTGTAGCATGCTCACCATCTTTTCCAAACCTGTAAAATCTGCATTGAGTGGGCAGGAGATTCTCAAGAAGACAAGTTCAAGAAGAAAGAGATATATGCCCCTAGCATCTGCTCTCCCTGCAGAAAAGCTATTACTTTGGCATCTTTTGCAGCTGTAACTGCTACACAATTGCTGCTGATGCTGTTACATAGACAGTTGCTGATGGCTCCAGGGGCACCCTCAGGCTTCTCACATGCCAAGTAGAAGAAGCCTAATTTCCTACCTCTATAAATGGAACTGTAAGTGTGCAAAGTCCCTAGATACTATATTCTGCCATTTAGCCCTGCTACACCAAAGGAGGATTTTATTTTATTTAAAAGAGAGAGAGAGAGAAATGTGTATTTTCATGCAGGATATTATCTCTCTGAGCTATTACTTGAAAAATGTGGAGGAATGCAAATAGAACTAAAGAAGAAAGGCAAAGGTTGAGGGTGAAACCTTAGCTCCATTAAAACTAATGAGACTTTGCTATTTACTTCATAGGGCCCAAGTTTTCATCCTGAGGGAGCAAAAAGAGTTGGCAGAGATGTACTCTACAAGTAGATTTAAAATCACAGAAATCAATGGATATAGTCAATGGGGTGCTTTGGAAAACAGCAGTGTTGAACTGAATAAGGGGCTAGTGAAGATAACAGCTGAAGTCCAGAGGGTAGCAATTTGGGATGATAATTAAATATTTAGACAATATTTGTATTATGGTTTGATACTTCCATCATTGTCCCATTTGGATTATCACATCTGCACCCAAAGATAATGATATTGGTAATTAAATGCTAAATGCATGAAGGGGGGGGGTTGTTTGTTTTTGACAAGGTAGGAAGCAATGTCAAGGTAATGATGAATTTTACTAACTGTATAGTACCAAGCACATTGTCTTCCCTAAATTAATCTGTATGAGTGCATCTGAAGGGTAACCAGGTTAGGCTGAATCTGCATAAAAAAAAAATCCCTAAATTAATCTGTATGAGTGCATCAGAAGGGTAACCAGGTTAGGCTGAATCTTCATAAAAAAATGAGAACTCTTGTGGCGCCTTATAGACTAACAGATTTATTGGAGCATAAGCTTTCATAGGCAAAGACCCACTTTGTCAGGGTGTGTGTGTGGGCGAAGACCCACTTTGTCGGAGAGTGTGCACGCACATAATACTAGGTTAAGGAAGTCCTGCAGCTGTGAAAGAATAGCAATATTATCAATATTTGTCATCTGACCAAGTAAGTTATGTTCATGAAAGCTCATGATAACATCTATATATATTTTCAGTTAGTCTCTAAGGTGCTACAGGATCATTAGTGTTTTTTAAGTTTTTTAACTACAAACACAGCTACCCCTCTGAGACTATTAAACACGATGAGTACAGTAACTCTTTGCTTAACATTGTAGTTATGGTCTTGAAGAATGCTACCTTAAATGAAACAATATTAAACAAATCCAAATTCCCCATAAGAATTAATGTAAATGTGGGAGGAGGAGGTTCCAGGGAATTTCTTTTCAGCAGATAAAAGACAGTATGTACATACATAGTATAAGTTTTAAACCATTTTAATGTAGTACACAGCAATGATGATTTTGGAGCTTGGTTGAGATGGTGGAATATTTCCCAGGGAATGTCTTGCTACGAAATGATGAAGAGCTGAGCCCTCAAGGGTGAGCATGTTGTTAATGTAGCCTCATACTCTAGAGCAGGGCTGGGCAACAAGAGCCCAGAGGCCGGATGCAGTTCACTAGTTAGCCCCTGGAGGCTCACCAGACAGCCCCTGGAGGCTCACCAGACGCTTTTATCTACCTACATGTTTGCAGGTACAACCACTCGCAGGTCCTGTTGGCCCTGGATCGCCATTCCCGGCTGCGCGGAGTGGAGTGGACCAAGACACCGCGTCCTCCAGCTCCAAAGCAGCGGGCAGGAGCTGCATGGCAGTGGGAGGAAAAGCCACATACCTTACAGGGAACTTAGGGAAGGTGGGAGGAGGGAGCTGCCAGTTCACCCTGGCTCCAAATCCCTACAAGGATAGGCTGCTTTTCCAAAACTTTCTGCTAGTGGACAAAAGAGTCAGCCACGGGACCCGAGCTGCTTTCAGGGGGAGTTGCAGGCACTTTGGCAGGGCCGGTTTTTGCCCATTATTTGTATTTCACTGGTCAGCATTTCACTCTGCCCAGCTAGTAACACATTTAACAAAAATAAAAACTATCCCCCTTAAAACTGCTCGCCTCTGAGCATCACGGGAAATAACGCTGCAGAGCGGGATCCGTGCAAAGCGCCTCCTTAACCCAGTTCCCCAAGTACCGAACCCCACCCTGGAACCGCCCAGGGAACTCAGGCTGCACCCGCAAGACAACCAAAGAGCGCGACACTGCGCCTGCGCCGCATCGGCTCCCCCAAGCCCAGCCGATCGTGCGGCTGCAGCGTAGCGGAGTACGCATGCGCCTCGAGGGATGGGGCACACTGCGCATGTGCGACGAGCGGGGGCTTGGCGCCGCTGCTGGGCCCGGTCCCCACCCCCTCCTCGGCGCTATGAGTGACGGGTTCCGGAAGGCGGAGTCGGGCACGCAGGTGAGGCAGCGCCCCCTGCCCCCAGGGCAGGCCGTTCCCTCAGCGCCGCACGGCCCCTTGGGGGTTTGGTTGTGGGCGGCCGCCAGGCCTGGGGCAGTTTGCCCCGCAGCGCCCTGGGCGGCAGGTAGGGGTGCCCTGCGGTGGGGCGGGCGGACAGGCCCTGCCCAAGGCGTGGGGTGGGAAACCCGGAGCTCGCGGCCGCGGGCTCTTCCCCCTCCAACAGGCGGCGTCCTAGCCCGGATTTGGCGGAGCGGTGCGCGCCCGGGCCGCTGCCGGCAGGTGTTGGCGAGGCGAGCTTAATTTCTGTGGCCGCAAAGGGCATGGACGCGTGTCCCTAGAACCAAGCAGCTGTGGAAGAAGGGCTTTGCTGAATAGGGATGAAGGCAAAAGTCCGGGCTTGTATTTCACCCTCCCTCCCCCAAATACAGACACCCCCTGTGCATTTGTACAACCTCCGGCTACGTCTAGACTGGCATGATTTTCTGGAAATGCTTTTAACGGGAAAGTTTAACATTAAAAGCATTTTCGGAAAAGCGCGTCTAGATTGGCAGGACGCTTTTCCGCAAAAGCACTTTTTGTGGAAAAGCGTCTGTGGCCAATCTAGACACGCTTTTCCGCAAAAAAGCCCCGATCTGATGTCTACACTGGCACTTTTGCACAACAGTTTTCGGAAAAAGACTTTTGCCTGAATGGGAGCAGCACAGTATTTCCGCAAAAGCACTGACAATCTTACATGAGATCGTCAGTGCTTTTTGTGGAAATTCAAGCGGCCAGTGTAGACAGCTGGCAAGTTTTTCCGCAAAAGCAGATGATTTTGCGGAAAAACTTGCCAGTCTAGACACAGCCTCAATGTCAATAACAGCACTGTCCTGCTGCCAGGGGTTCTCCTCCTGGTCTAGGTAACTCACCTCCCCAAAAGGTGGTACAGGTTGAACCTCTCTAGTTTGGCACTCTTGGGACCTGACCAGTGTTGAACCAGAGATTTTGCCAAACCATGAGAGGTCAATATTGTCTAGCAGCAGTATCAATCCTTCTACTGCGCACTGGGCTCTGAGAAGACATTTAGAACTAAGTAACAGCACAGGACTCTGAAAACCAGGACTAGTAGCTGTAAACAAACTTAATGGGAAATGTGGCCACACCAATGGACATTTGGCTAACTAAAATCATGCCAGATCACAGATGTTGCTGGACTAGAGAGGTTCAACCTATAATTGGGTCCACAGAAGAATTCTTTGATCAACCTAGAGCTGTCTGCATGCAGGATTAGGTTGGCTTACCTGCCTTGCTTAGGGTGAGGATTCCCACCCAGGAGCTCCTGAGTTACCACGCTAATGCTGGCACCACTGTTCCCTGTAAGCTTTGCAGTTGAGCTGTCACCAGAAGAGATTTAAATGCTGCTCAGCTGATTAGCACAGCACTCTCAGCTGACAACATGTGTTTGGTAGTGCACATCCGCACATGTTTTGGGGCACATAACAAAATGTTTTCCACACATTAATGGAAAAAATTAGAGGGCATATTGGCTGGCTCCCACATTTTTCATAGCTCTGAGTGGCATAGTTAAGACCTCACAATAAACTTTGGGGCTGTGTCTACACTGGCGTGATCTCGTGCAAAAGCGGCCACTCGTGCAAAAACTTGCTGCCTGGCTACTCTGGCCACGTGTTCTTGTGCAAGTAAACTGACGTTCTAATGTATAAAATCAGGGCTTCTTGCGCGAGAACCCTGATGCTCCTGCTCAGGAAGAAGCCCTTTTGTACAAGTGCTCTTCCAGAAGAGGCCAGTGTAGACAGGCAACATGAATTTCTTGCACAAGAAAGCCCTATGGTTAAAATGGCCATCAGAGCTTTCTTGCGCAAGACAGCGTCTACACTGGCATGAATGCTCTTGAGCAAAAGCACATCTCTTGCGCAAAAGCACATGCCAGTGTAGACGCTCTCTTCCGCAAAAGAGTTTTTGCGTGAGAACACGCCAGTGTAGACATAGCCTGTGAGACTTTTGTTCACCTGAAGGGATGTGAACTTAGGGATGAATGAATTGTAGCCACTTGAAGCACTTTTTTTTATAAACTTGGAAGAGTTAAAATTGACTAGTTAAGTTGTGCTCATAGCAACAAGGCTTATGTTTAATTCTTCATCTACTTTTTTTTCACTCCCTCCGACACTTCTCTGACCTTGTGACCCTGACCAATGCTCTTAAAATCTTGTTGTAACACCGTGTCTCATAAGTAAAGAATTCTGTGCCAAACAAATAATTCTTCAAAAATATCATAAAATGTCGTTTTGTAAAAACAATGACATAGAAGTTATAAGAGCCCGTAAAAGGGATTAAGTGAATTCTGATTAAGCAAATAGTTTGTGAAAGGTAAGCACTCTCCTTTTTTGAAGTGGATCTCTTAACACTTTTAATCACTATCTGATTGTAGCCTGCATAGCATATACTGTATTACTTAGAAATGTTACATATTATTGAATGGCATCGAAAAATGTGCCTGACAACACAGAAAAACTCTGAAGTTCTACTGAAGCACCATTAACTCAGTGAGAGTGAGACTCCTAAGTGATTTTTTGAAAATTTTATCCACTGTCCTTGACCCAGCAAACTTATAGCTTAAGGTCCCTATCCTAAAACATTCACATGGGTACATTCCTTTTGTCCACCGAGACCCCATTTTTTTGTACACCAATAGTAACATTACATTTTATCACAGTGAATTTTTTAAAGTGCAGCTATTCAGAAATGTCTTAAACACATTTAGGCTTACTCTTTTTTACTATGATAGATATGTTGTAGGCTTGCACAGAGAAAAATACTAGAAGGTAATCAATTTGTGGAAAAAGGGTAAAAGTTAAGTGAAAAAGTAAGCGTCCATAATTAAAGTATGGCATGATGGTCTCTTTAGTGACCAAATGTTTCTGTATCTTTTCCAATTTTTCCTATTCAGTTACTTATTTAGCAGTGCCGTTAAAATGTTTATAAAGCCATTCACAACTAAAGATAGAAGGATGTGACTTCTGTTATTGCAGATCAGCACTTTGATCATTACAGATATTTTACCCTATTCAGCAGAAATGTTAAGAAGGTAAAATGAGACTGTAATGCCAGAATATAGCCAACAAACCAGGTAATCCCAGCTCTCACTAAAAGTTCCATAGATCTTTAACTACAAATAAAAAAGTCTCCTCTTTTATATCTTATCTAAACATAGTTTTGCTTCAGGCTTGTTAAGGGTAGCATAGGCAGACTTTTCACAAAGTTTGTACAAAGTTGTTTGTTGATCCTGTCTTGAAAGCCCACAGTGCACTGCGTGATACCAATGAAGCAAGTATCTGTCAAGATTCTGCTTCAAAACTGGGAGTAAACATAAGTTTCATAGAAACGCAAGAGGATTATCATGAATGAATTGTGAATAATCTGTGCAGTGCTCATGATAAACACCTGTAGTTATTTACAATCAAATATATAAGTATTCAGTTAACCACAGGTTCATATTTAAGCTATGATGATCAATGCATCCGATATTTTCTGAGGACTAATGACTGAATGAAAGGTATTGAAACAATCAAGTACCACTTAACTAATCCCCAGGAAATTCCCTGTGTAGAACATATTTGCTATTCTAAAATGAAAATTGAGGAGGGGAAGAAAATTTTGTTTGGTAGAACAAAGTACTATAGATAGTCTATTTTTTCTAGTAAGTAGCAGCAAAAGAATGAAAGCGGAAAGAGGTAAGATAGCAGGAAAACAATCTAGTGGATTAGTGAATATATGTTGTCTTCTGGACATACATAAAATGTTTGTAAATATGATCCATTTGCTAAGAAAATGTCTCACAACTAAGTAAAATGTGTTAAAATGCTTGTAGAGTTCTTGCTTATGATGTTCTGGTGAATTTCACCTGGCTGCCCTCATATAAAATACAGTAGAACTCCAAAAGTAATGGTTAAGAGAAAGCAGATTCACAAAGGGGAAAGATGCAGTGCAGAATGATGAGAATGAAGAGATCATAAACATTGGAGGGATAGACTCCATCAGCACGAGGAAACGGCAGCAGTGCAGTAAATGAGCAGGTTATATTCAATCTCTTCCCTGATCCTGTTTATACAGAATACTATAATATTTTTTCCAGTGAAAATTGATAGCAGTTTGCACTGTTCACCAAATTGTAACCATAGATCCAACATATACAAGTATTTCATGCATTCAACAAATGCATGAATCATAGATCCAATATAAGGTCAATTAAAATATTCTGTTTTTAATGGGCATCTCATGAGACTTATCAACACACTAGAACAGAGCAGTTACAAAGGCATATACACGGTACTGGTCTCTTCCATTAACAACATGACAGTGAAAGTGTGTTACATAGACTCATGTCATAACCTCTTGAAGCAAATTCATTGTCACTTAGGAGGTTTTTTTTACTACCATTAAAAGAAAACACAGAATTTTTTTTTTAATTTAGAGGAAAAATTGTCCATCGAATATGGTGTCAGGGAGAGAGAAGCAAAATGCAGGACAATGTAGCACTTTAAAGACTAACAAGATGGTTTATTAGATGATGAGCTTTCGTGGGCCAGACCCACTTCCTCAGATCAAATAGTGGAAGAAAATAGTCACAACCATATATACCAAAGGATACAATTAAAAAAATGAACACATATGAAAAGGACAAATCACATTTCAGAGCAGGAGGGGGAGAGAGAAATGTGTTCTGGGAAATCATGTTTAGAGTTATGTGGTAAGTGTCCAAATGATGTGACTAGGAAGGAGGTTTGATACACTTGTATAGAATTTATTTCATTCTAAAAATCATTAATTTAGAGCTTATTAAAGATGCTGGATAGACGGTTATGGAGACTAAAATGCTCTGTCTTCACAATGTGTACTCTTGCAGGAGTGCAGCTTTTTTGCCAGTGTACTTTAATTCATGCATGGGAGGACATTTCTAACTGTGGGTGAAGTATTCCTTTCTTGAATTGTTGGCCTCTTCATTGAGACTGCCAACCATAGTGCCATTTGTTATGTGAACACCTGTCCCTATAGGAACAGGCCTGAGAACACCCACTTTCCTTACAAAGGCTGTTGAAAGCCATCGTGATTTTTGATCACTACTAGCCTGTGCTATGTTCGATCAAATAACAGTGAGGTGATAGGATCTGTAGCCCATCAGAATCCTACATCTAATGTAAGTTGAAATATGTAAGCTGCTTTTACTTATAAATGCGCTGAGGGATTATACGACTCAGGAGAGCGATAATGGGAAATACAGCCTTTCACCTTCAAATCACTAGTCTGAAGTTACTCTCTGATGGCTCTTATAAAAAGAATCTTCATTCCTTTCATCCTATAAAATGGCAACATTCCCACATTTCAAAGACCTCTTCTTGCAGTAGTTTTTTCTGCTGGTAGCTCTTTCTTGTGGCTTTGTAAATATAGGTTCTTACATGGTACTTATCGCCATGGAATCCTGGTGCTCGTTGCTAGGAGAGATAGAAAGTCAGCATCTGTTGCTATACTGTCCACTCTCTGAACTTGCACATGTATGCAGAAAGGCATTTTAAAATCAAATTAATCAGATGACAGCTATCATTGAAAATACACTACATTCTATAGTTCTGTTTTATGTTATACACTTGATTCCCATGATTCATTATTTTTAGTTAACACGTGTTTTTATTTTTTGTTTTAAAAGCTACTTGCACGACTTGAGGGCAGAAGTTCTCTGAAAAATCTTGAACCTTGTCTATTTGCAGATGAAGGATTTCCCATTCACGGTAAAAAAAACAACCACATATGTTATCTTAAAAAACTGTAGAGTATCAGTGTAAGTTTGTCTGTCAGGTTACCTTTAGCATTCAAATAGATATAAAATCCTGAACCCAGTGAGAGGATAAGTGTTGACTAGGGATGTAAAATCCCATTTAATTAGTTGATCAGCTAAACTTTATGAAACTGATTAAACAGAGATGGACTGGAGTGCCCCTGCCTGCGCTGGGCCAGGCCCACTGCAGATGGGGGCTGCTCCAACAGGACTGGCCAGTAAGGTTAGAATGACACACATTTAATGGATTGAAAACTGGCTAACTGATAGGTCTGAAAATATAACTCTAAATAGAGAATCATGTTTGATTGGGTGTGCCACTAGTGGACTCTTGCAAGGATCAGTTCTTGGCTCTGTGCTACTTAGCATTTTATCAATAAAGGAAAGGTGATCATATGTCCCATTTTGGCCAGTACTGTCCCTTTTTTAAGCTCTGTTATGGCCATCAAGACTTATTAGACAAAAGTGGGCTTCCATCCCATAGGCTCTTGCCAATTTGATCAATTGGCAGGAGTAAATAGGATAAATGCCCACCGTTGTCAAAAAACGTGGTGTGCAGAGTAAGGATGTTAAGTTGCGTTTAATCAGCTAATAGAGTAGTCAATGGAATTTCCATCAACTACTTGATTAGTTGATAATGGGGGAAACTGCAGAGCCGCATTAGGTCTGGGCCAGACGGCTCTTACTACATTTAAAAGGCAGAGGCATGGCATCTGGGGCCAGGCTCGAGCCAGGACAAATGAGTCCCGGCTCGCGCTCCATCCCCTGCTGTGCCTCTGCCTCCCTTGTCCCCACCAGTGGAGACGGTATAGGGGAGAACTGGCTTTTAAGCCAGCTCTCCCCAGCTCGGGCTCCTGCTCCCCCCCTTGCTGCCTCTAATAGAAGCAGCAAGTCGGGGAGAGAAGCGACTGGTCAACTAGTGATTTCAGTTACCCAATAAGCCTAGGCTTATCGGGTAGTCGACTACTCGACTAGTTGCTTACATCCTTAGTGTAGAGGAATATGTAGACAGGTGGCAATTCCAACACTTTGTGCCAGAGGGTGGGAGGCACAGCTTACCATAGGTTGTGGTGGATTCTCCATCACTGGCAATTATTAAATCTAGATTGGACATTCTAAAAGATATGCTGTAATGCAAATAGGAATTAATTTAGGGTCTTATGGCCTGTGTTGTACAGGAGGTCAGACTAGAAGACAACAATGGTCCTCTTCTGGCCTTAAAATCTATGAAATCTATAGTAATAAACAGCGTACATATTGATTTGGAAAGCAGCAAATAAAGTAAACTAGAAAGAATTTTGAGTGAGATGGCTATGCTGTTACGCTTGTCTAAGGGAATTTATAAAATTAGGCAGTAGTGCCATGCTATGTGACCCTGGTGCAACTGCATCTGACTCTTTCTGTGCACTTCTGATTCCTCCAAATTACTAAGAGCATAGGGAGAATTAGAATAATTAACAAAATGGCAATAAAAAGGATCATGATGATTGAGAAAAAGAAAGTGTACATGTCTAAAAAAGAATAATTGTGGAGCATTTATGTATAGCTTTTAGACAATACGTCCAACAATATGTGATCCATGATCCAAGGAACTTTCAAACTCAATGGAACAAAGGTCATGGCTGGTTGGGAGAACAGGGCAACATCAGTAGGACAATGTAAATCACAATATGGTTAAGATGATTGTTGTTTTTTGAAGATGGAAAAATATGGAGATGATATAGTTGACTAATTTCTTTTAGACTTGGTAGCAAAACTGGGAGATCAACAGGAGGCAATTAAACGAGTAAAAGATGTTGAATATTGAGGGGGAAATCTCGCTCCCCTGGGGTACAGAGCCCCCAGAAGGGTCCGAGGCTGGAGGTCAAATCAGTGAGGCAGGAAAGAAACCTAGAAGAGAAAACTTTATGATGCATGCATGCAGGCTGTCACACCAAGAGTGAAGCAGCCCTGACACACAGATTCAGGGATTCTTTATACAGTATGCTTAGACAGTTCAGTTGTGGATTGTTCTTCTTTAACATATCAAAGTCTCAGCAGAAGTACTCTGAGACTTCTGTTCACCCCAGGAGTGCTAGAAGTAAGTTTTTACAGTACACAAAGCCACATGAGAACTTGAGTGGAGGAGTCTACAAGGCAAACTGTGACAAAGATAAGGGTTTACATGACAAATTGTAACAGACTAGGAGTATCCATGAATTTGAGATAGTCATTTGTAAGGGTCTTTGATTAGAGCTAATTTGATTTCTCTCTGTTACAGGGAGAAAGGCCTGGAAAACTTTTTAACCCTTACAGCAGTTTTCTTTTAGAAAGTTATGATTTCTGCACAGTCTCCCCTTAGACACAATTGGAGTTATTTGATTTTTCTCCCACACCTCCAAGATGCCTATTTGCATGTAACCATCCACCCCTCCCACAGACGCTACCTACGCTTCACGTTGGAACTAGACCATTTCCAGTACAAGGTTCTTCCCTTCGGTCTCTCATCAGCTCCGAGGGTATTTTCGAAGGTACTGGCGGTCGTAACTGCGTATCTCAGACAGCAGAACGTCATCATATTTCCCTATCTAGATGACTGCCTTCTAAAGGGATCCTCATACGCCGAAACCGCCTCTATGATACATATGACCATGGCCCTCCTCAGTCGTCTAGGCCTTCTAGTCAACCAAGACAAATCAATTCTGCACCCGGTTCAAGATATAGAGTTCATTGGCGCATGCCTGGACTCAGTTACAGCCCGGGCATACCTACCTCAGCAACGCTTTGCAACCATGCAAGAAATT